TGTACAGATTTCTTAGATAACATTCAATATTTTACGAACCATACAAATAACTGATAAATTAGACTCCATCAAAACTTGAAACTTTTGCTCTTCAAAGATAGTATTAGGAGAAAGAAGTGAGAGGCCATAAGGACTGGGAGAAAATATTTGTCAAACTTACGTCTAATAGTGGTGTTATCCAGAATATTTAAGGAGCTCTAACAATTCAATAATAAAAAGACGAACCCAATAAAAAATGGCCAAAAAATTTTGACAGTTTGCCAGTGAAGATATATGAATGGCCCTTGAAATGATATTCAATTTTAGCCACAAGGGAAATACAAATTTAATTCACAGTGAGGTTCTAGTACTCACCCATTATCATAGTCAAAGTTTAAAAGACTGGCCATGACCAAGAGTTGTCAGGATGTGGAACAGCTGGATCTCTCACATGAGTCTGATGGAACTGTGAAATTGAACAGTTGCTTTAGAAAACAGTCTGCCAGCTTCTTAGGAGTTTAAACATACACTTACCAAACAGGCCAGCAGTTTCACTCCTATGAAAACATGTCATCCATATAAATCTCGTACTTGAATATTCGTGGTAGTTTTCTTCATAGCAGCCAAAACTTTCCAACAGCAGGTGAATGGATAAACAAATTGTGTTATAGCTATACAGTAGATGACAATTGTGTTAGAGCTATACAGCAATAAAAAGGACTGAAGTATCAATACATGTAGTAATGTGGACAAATCTTAGAAGCGTTATGCTAAGTGAAAGAAGTGAGGCATAAATGACTGCATACGATGATTCCATGTATATGGAATTCTGGAAAAGAAAAAAACAAAGGTATAGAAAATAGATCAGTGATTTCCAGGGACTGCAAAGAAGGTACAAGGGAAGATTTTGGGGTGAGGATTACAGTTTGTCAAAACTCACTGACTTACTATAACTAGATAATTTTATTTTATATATCTCAATAAAGCTATTGAAAAAATTTTGGTATTCATGTTCTAAAATCTGTACTTTGTTTGAATTACTTAGCACCTGATATAGGAGTTTATTAAGAAACTCTGTCTTGAGTCAGTATGTAGCAACAGTTTAGAGTTCCTACTTAGCATCTATGCAGTTTAAGTTGTCAAAATTTAGAGGAAGAATGGGGTGTATAAATCACCCTGTGAGGTTTTTTATTTGTTTTTTCTTTTTGAAATTGACTCCTCAAGCCTCAGAATCCCAGGTGGGGAGGGTAAACAGCTGAATATGTGTAGTCTGAAAAAGCTCCTTGAGATTTTTTTTTAAAGGCCGCTTCTCTGCAAAAGTATTCTATAATGTCTTACGGATTTTTTTTTTTTTTGGTTGGTTGCTTTTGTTTTATAAATCAACTTTATAGAGGTATAATTTACAAACATTAAAATGCACCCATTTTAAGTGTACAGTTTGGGTTTTGATGAATGTGTTCACCTATGTAAACACTATAATCAGTGTACAGAACATGTTCATCACCCCAGAAAAATTGCATCATTCCCCTTTGCTGTCAGTCCCCCCACTCTACCCCAGGCCCAGGAAGTCACTGATGTCACTGTAGATTAGTTTTGCCCATTCCACAGTTTTACATAAATGGTCTCTTACAGTATGTGTCTGGCTTTCTTCCTTCAGCATAAGGTCTTTAAGGTTCATTCATGTCGTTTGTATCAGTGCTTCATTTTTATTGTGTTCCATTTCATAGCCATACAACAATTTATCCATTTGCCTGTTGAAGTGTGAACAGTCTTTGTGTGAACATATTTTTTCCATTGCTCTTAGATAATACCCAGAAGTGGGATTCCTGGGTTGTATGCTAAGTGTATGTTAAACTTTACAAGAAACTATCAAATTGATTTCCAAAGTGAACGTAACCAGTTTACATTTCCTACAAGCAGTGCACGGGAGTTCCCATTGTTCCACGTTCTCGGCAGCACTGCGTGTTGCTGGTCTTTCATTTTAGCCCGTCCTGTGGATGTATATTACCTCACTGTGGTTTTAATGTACATTTCCCTTGTGATTGGTTTTGAGCATCTTTTCATGTGCTTATTGATCAAATGTTTAGCCAGTATTTCATATTGTTTTATCTTCTTTATAATGAGTTTTAGGAATTTGTTTTGCATACCACTCCTTTATTAGGTGTATGTTGCTTTTTTCAATTTCTTACTGGTGTCTTTGCAAGAGCAGAAATTATTAACTTTGATGAAGTCCATTTTATAATTTTTTTTTCCTGTGGTTTGTATGGTATCCTGTCTAAGAAATCTTTGTCTTCTCCAAGATTATAAAGATTTTCTCTTTTGATTTCTTCTGTAAGTTTCATAGTTTTTATGTGATCTATTCTGAGTTAATTTTTATGTTTTATAGAGTACAGGATTAAAGTTCTGTTTCTCATATGGCTGTCCAATTATTCTAGCATCGTTTGTTGAAAAGACTCTTTTATATTTCTCCATTGAATTGCCTTGAGATCTTTGTCAAAAGTCAGTCAACCATGTATATGGAAATCTTCTAAAATTTGATGATTAAGACTTGTTATAGAAAGTCTGTAATCTTTTC